CTTGGGACGGAACATGAGAAACCACACGATGGCACCTGGCCTGAGGTAGGGCCCCCCGGTGCACTAGAGAAGGTGAGCTTCTGGGTGGATTTACATTGCATCTCTGCGGCTTATATTCCCTTGTGCAGAACTGCTCCTAGGTGGAAGCTTTCAAAGTCAATTCAGCTCTTACAGGCAGCACACGGAAGGGCCTGGAAAACCCATGCCAGGTGACAGATTGCACCTGACAAGGCGAGGGTGACGACTTCAAGCCTGTGGTGGCCGAGGCTGGAAAAGGCCATGTCTGGAAGAATCGGGCATCACCTAGCATATCTGCCCCCCTTATGAGCTCCCACCGATGTCCTGCTGTCGCGTCCACTCTGACACAGGAACCGATAGGACAGTCCGAGGCTGTACATATTCACAGGGTCAGACGGTCTCACCTTTCTCACATAGAGCCAATGGTGGGTTCGAACCACTGGCCTTTCGGTTAGCAGCCCCACTTGGATCCAAGAGCTGCTCAGTCAGCTCACGAGGCTCTGTTCCTGGTCTTAGTGGTCAGGCTCCTCCCTCCCTCCCTCCCTCCCTTCCTCCTTCCCTCATTACCTGCATCCTTTTAAGGTTGGGGAAGTCTCCAGGTGAGATCTGGTGCTCGCGCTCAATCCGGCCATAGATCTCAGCCAGGTTGCTCACCAGCTCCTTCTTCTTATTGTCCTTTCCAAACACGGAGGGCATCTCTTTCTTCAGAGAGCTGATGATGTAGGCATGGACCTGAAACCCAGAGCAGAGAGGGAGCTTAGGATCAACATGCTTCACCCACCCCCTCCATGTGGGTTTACTCTCATCCCACCTCTTCCCAGGTAGCTCTTACTCTTCCCCTTCTACTTTTAGAATCGTTCCCATCTCTACCCTCTTGGTCCCCCCTTGCTTGGAGTGCTGGGCTGCTTTCCTCCATTATACAGGGAAGGAGAGGTTGTGGGCAGGTGAAGGTGGAGGCAGTTACAGGAGGGGGATGGTGGTGCAGATGACAATGAAGATAAGAGCAGCAGTTCACCTTGACTGAGCATCAGTTGGATTACTAACCTCAAGGCCAGCAGTTCTAAACCACGGAAGGAAGATGAGGCTTTTTGCTCATAAGTCTTGGAAACCGGCTAGAGCAGTTCTACCCTGTCCTGTAGGGTCGCTGTGAGTCGGAATCGACTCAACACAGTGAGAGTGAATCTTCCAACAACTGATTAACCTCACAGGTGTGGGAATGCGAGAAGAGAGACTAATGACCTTGCTGGGCTTGGGGTTCCCTCAAGAAATGTTCCAGTCTGACATTCCCTCAAGAAATGTTACAGTCTCACCCCGAGTCTATGGTCCTAGAAAACACACATGCTGTCCTTGGGTACCAGAATTAGTAGAGCTGATGCCTGTCTTCACATGCAATTCACATGCAAATGCCCAGTTGTTGGGGTACTGACTCACCCACCTCTATTCCCAAATGGTTACTGCCCATGCTCCCATCTCCTGAGCCAGGGGCAGCCTCACCTTGGCCAGCCTGGCTCTCTTGATGAGGTCATTGAGCTTGCGCAGGGCAGCATTTCGGGGCAGACTCTGGATGTCTCTGAACAGGTCCTGCTCCTCGGCCTCAAAGAGCTTCCGGTTGTCAGGGATGAGCAGGGGATGGGACCAGAAGGAGCCGATGTAGACCCTGATCACCTCTGGGGTGTTCACGATCTTGCCCAGGGACCACATGAGAGCCCCGTAGACCCGCATCAGCTGCTGGGTCTCGATCTGGTCGGCCTTGTTTAGGACCACCCGCATCTTGTCCTCGTGGTTCTTGAGGGCCTTGATGACCTCGGAGAACTCATCGGAGATGTCCAGCTTGTGGGCGTCGAAGAGCAGAATGATGCGGTCGACCCGCTCGGCAAACCACTCGAGGACGGCTGCGAAGTCATAGCCTGTCGGCAGACGGGACAGTCAGGAGGAGGGCTCTGTGCAGGGAGAGGCAGGCAGGTGCAGTCCAAAAGCTTAGACCCGAGAGGCAGACGTAGCTGACCCCTTCACGCTCTAATGATGCATCTTTTATCAGGGTGAAGCTACTGCGTGTCTTTGAGTTAGAGTGCTCTCCCATCTATCAAATGGGTATAACAGTACCAGACTGACAAGATAGGTGGAGTAACTACACCCACACTCCAGCATATAGTAGATGCTCAGTATATGCTAGAGATTATTGTTGAGAGAAGATTATTCTTGTTATATTGTTATGAGAAGATTATTCTTCTCATAAAGTGAGCCATGAGGCAGCTCCCCGAACCTTACTGTAATATTGGCCAGGAGTTACTGGAAAAGAATCTTAGGCCAGGCAGATCCGGACATTCCTGATCAGGCCAGAAAGCTACACCATGGTGAAATGGCGGATGCTGATTCATATCATGCCTATCACGGGTCTGGAAGAATCTACAGTTCTTGTCACAGAAACACAAGCCTTGTTCTCACTCTTGCTCGAGTTCACAGCTTTCCTTACACACCAGCTGCGGTCCAGAACTCCCAACTCTTAAACCCAGAAGATGGCTCTTCCTTAGACTGTGACCTAGCTTCCAGCTGCTAGGTCTTGGCTCTCTGGTGCAAGGCTACTTCAGGTCAGGCTGGTTCCAGAAACCTCAGTATACTTACTCTGTCCTGAGTAGCGGTGGATTTGGGAGGGGCTAAGCAGGAGGAGCTGCCACCAGTCTGCACACCAGCCTCAGGTTCACCCACAGTAAGAGCTGGGAGGGGTCTGCCCTCCTCGTCCTCCATAAAAGAAGGATACCATCGATGAGAAAGGGTGAGGCCGAGTGAATGCGCAGGGACAGAGTGCGGGGATGCATCCGAGTGGGGCTCTCCAGCTTGCCTTCTGCCATCTCTCTCGCCGACTTCGGCTACCTTCCTTGTACTCTAGCATGTTCCACAGGCCTGGCTCCCGAGAGCATCCCACCTCGAGTGCACACCTGGGGAGCTGAGGCTCATCGCCCCCACGGAGCATGAAGACAAGGCCCCAGCTCCTGCCCGTCTCAGGAAGGGAGGCTGGGTCTGAGATGTCTGAAGCTCTGGCTGTCTGTGTCAGTGGTCCTCCGACTTGAGTGTGCAGCAGGAGAGCTGCATGCTGGGCAGCCCAGCCCCAGCGCGTGTGATCCAGCTAATGAGGTGGCAAGAGAGGATGAGGCAGCTGGCCCAAGAAGCACTCGAACCACCGGTCTCTGACAAGGATAGCGTCCCTACATGCCCAGTACTGTGCTACATGATTCACACCACTAATGCCTTTCATTCTCACAGAGGCAGACACTAATATCCATCCTGGTTTCTAGATAAGAGTGCAGAGAGAAGAGAGAGACGAAGCAGTCTACCCAAGGTCACTCAGTCTGTACGTTCTGGGGCTGGGATTCAAATCCCAGAGGTGGCTCCAGAGTTGTTGCTATCGGATGCTCTTTAACTGGTTTACAACGGAGGGGTGGGAGGGCGTGCTTTTAGACAACACCTCCGTCTGAGATGGGGAGAAGCCTGAGGAGGGTGGAAGGGATCCTTTTTCCTCTCTGGAATCTTTTGAACATATAGGGATATCTCATTGTCATCCTTGCTGTTGTTAGGTGTCATGGAGTCGGCTCTGACTCACAGCAACCCTCTGCACAACAGAATGAAGCCCTGCATGGTCCGGTGCCACCCTCGCCATGTTCCTGTGCCCGAGCCCATGGATGGAGCTGCCGTGGCAATCCAGGTCATTGAGGGGTTTTATCTTTTTTTCATGAGGGATACCTGGGGATTCCTAGGTGTACATATTTGGGGCATTAATGTCTTATCATTGGTGGTTCAGTTGTTGAATGCTTGACTTCCAAGAGGGTGACTCGGTTTGATTCTAGGCCACTGCACTTCATGGGCGACTAGTCACCTCTGTCTGCTGGTGGAGACTCCTGTGTTGCTACGATCCTAAACAAGGAGCCCTGGGGGACCTGTTGGACTGCTAAGGGAAAGGTCAGTGGTTCAAAGCCACCAGCTCCTCCTCAGGGGAAAGATGAGGCTCTCTGTTCCCCTCAACATTTATAAAGGGTTGCTGAGTCAAAATCAACCACATGGCAGTGGGTGTGATGCTAACCTGGTGTCACTGGAACTTCCAGACTGAGACAGACTAGGGAGA